TTCTGGTGTGTATTCCAAAATATATCATTTTGAACAATTTCTCCGAAAACACCTAGTCTCCAAACCGCCAAAAAAGGATAGAAAATGTTTTTGACCGTCTTTATTCAGATTTGTCCCACTGTGTGACAGTTCGTGACAGTTTATGTTTGGTTCATTTTGACGTTCATATTTTTCGAATCTGGATCCCCATCCTTTTATTTAACACCTTCTCTACACTCCCAACTGTCATTCAACCATTTGTCCATTTGAATTTCAGTCGAATTCATCATTTTTTTTTTAAATAAATTCAGCTATTTATCAAGGCTCAAATGCGGAAGGTTTAGGGAGCTCATTTTACTTTTTACTATGTTTCTTAACAATAGAGTTAGTACAAGAAGCGTCCAAATACTCGTGGCTTTCTCAAGGTAAAGGGCTACAATCTATTAACAAGTAGGGAAGGGGTCAAGGAAAGGTACAAGGATGCGATTCAGCCATTCCATAGCAAAACGATATAGTAGTTCTCAGAATTTCGTTTCTCTTGGTGTTTTCGAACGGAAGGTGTTGCGTACCATCTACGGTGGAGTGCAGATGGATGACGGAACGTGAAGGAGGCGAATGAACCAAGAATTGCAGCAACTGCTGGGGGAACTATTCATCGTCCACATTACAAAAATTGGGTGACTACGGTGGGCTGGGCACATCGTAGGAATGCCGGACGACGACCCAGTAAAAATGGTTCTCGAAAGCGACCAAGTAGTAGGCGACCTGCGGACCCTTCGCAGACTACGAGGTTGGCGACGTGTGACCATGGATCGAGTAGAGTGGAGACGGCTTCTTCGGACAGCAGAGGACAACAAAGCCTTAGCCTGATTGGTAAGGTAAGTATGGAGCGAGAATCGATCCCGCACTTATAATACACTGCTAACCACATGACCACGAATCCCGCAAGCCCTTTTGACTATTCTTTCATGCGGTTTTTTATCCGTTAGACCTGTAGTCCATTCGACCTTTTGTCCCCCTAAGAGTCGGTCCACCATTTTTCCATTCGATCAGGTTTCTATTGGACCTTTTGTCCTCCTAGCTGTTTTAACCTTTTGTCCATTTCGACTGTTCATCCATTCGAACATGTTGTACCCTAACTTTTATTCAACCTTTTGTCCCTTAATGCTTTTGTCTATTCGTCCATTTGTCCTTAGATTTTTTTTGTTCTAGGTTGAATGGAGAATGTACAAAAGATTGAAAAGGAGAAAACGTTGAAAGTGTGTAAATTTCATGATGGAATTTAAGGGGCATATATCGAATGGACAAATAGTCGAATGAAACTGAGTGTGACGAAAGCTCGACGAATAGACAAAAAGTTAAACAAAAACATGTTCAGGGTGTCTACTACCTGGAAAACCGGGAATTTACAGGGAATATTATTTTTCTGGAAAAACCTGGAATATTCAGGGAATTTTGGTTCCACTCAGGGAATTTTCCAATTATCACTTCATTCGTAATTCAAAAGAAGTTTTTCGCTCAGTTTCTCGAAACGTTTCTTAAGTACACTGAACTTGACAAGCATCTGACAGCTAAGACAACGTGTGCGAACGAGACAATTTCATTCAGAGAATCTTGTCACGCTCGCTCTTCGCTGATTTGTATGTGGAGGATCAAAATCGTCGTAAAAAGGAAACGACCGAAGAAGAGAGACTGGCAACCGACAAAAGGAAGCATACGAAGCATGTATTGTATAAGAATAAGCATGCCAGATAGCAGGTCTGAGAGCCTACATATATTTTTTTTTTTGAGCTTCAGAGAGGGTCGGAGATCTACTGAGAAATTTGTTGAGCTTCAGGGTAGTTCGTTGATCTTGAGAACAGAACTACAAACAAATTAAAAGTAATTAACAGAAATTTATAAAAACAAAATCACAAGAGAGGTCGTAGATCTTAAGATAAATGTTCAAAGAAATTTTCAAAACTTCAAGCAAGCAAAAATAATTTCAAATCAATTTGTAAAACTATAAGCGAAATTTTGCAAATCTTCATGGAAATTTGCATAACTTCAGACAAGTCCAAGAATCTACAGTGAAATATAAAGTATTTCACAGTAGTTTGGAGATCCTCGAAACATTAGTCAACATCAGAAAAGTTCGTAGATATTCAGAACAAAGCTACAGAACTTTGAAAAAAATAACAGGACTTCTGAAAAAAGTCAGAAGAATCTCAGAAATGTTAATGGATCTTCAGTAAAAATTGCAGAACTGCAGGAAAGTTCGGCGATTAAAAAAAAATATTTACATGATTTCAGGAAAATTTGTAGATATTTAGAGAGGCATTTAAAACTTCAAGGAAGCTCAAATATTTTCAGATAAATTTTAACAACTTAAGGTAATTTTCAATGAAAGTTTCAAATCTTCAGGGTAACCCGAGAGGAATTTACAAAACATCAGAGAAGTTTGCAGATCTACTGAGAAATTTATTGAGCCTCAAGTTTTTTTTGTAGATCTTGGGAATAGAGCTACGAAGCTTAAGATAACTTTACAAAACTTTAAAAATATTTGCAGGAATTTGACAGAAAGTTTCACAGTTTCACACAAATGTGAGATCTTCAGAAAAATTCGTTAAATGCAAATGAAAATGAAAAGCACCTCAATTCCAAAAACAAATCGCAGCTAAGTACTAAAGTACAATATTTTGCAGAACTCCATGGAAGTCGGAAATAGATAGATCTAAAGAACTTCAGAGAAGTCCGTATACCTTAAGAGAAGTCTGTAGAACGTCAGAAAGTTCGTACGTTTTTAGAAAAATTTGCAAAACTTCAGCAAAACTCACAGATCTTAGGGAAAGTTCGCCGATCTTTAGATCAAGAATCCACAAAGAAATTTAAAGAACTTTAGAAAAGTTCGGAGATCTACTGTGAAATTTATTGAACTTCAGGGCAGTTCGTAGATCTTTAGAGCAGAAATACAGTACTTCAAAAAACTCTACAGAATTTGAAATAAATTTTAGGAACTTCAGAAAAGTTCAGAGGGTAGATCGTAAATCTACTCAAAAACTAGCAGATGTTTAAATAAATTTTCTGAATTTTACTGTGTTTCTTGAATTTTGAAAAACATTTCAGGTAAATTCGCTGATCTTTAGAGATATTTGCACAGCTTCAGAAAAATTAGAAAAACTTCAGAATACCCCTAAAAATTCAGGAAAGCTAAAAAAATTTCTAGATAATCTTTTCATTCTTTAGAAAATTGTATAGATGTTCAGAGATATTTGCAGATATTCATCGAATCATGAAAATCTGCCGAACAAATTACAGAACTTTCGAGAATTTTGTAGATTATTAGAAATTTTGTGAACATCAGAGATAATTGTTGATCTTCAAGGATCTTAAATCTTCAGGGATTCAGGAACTTAGTAGATTTTTAGGAAAATTTGCATAACTTCTGAAGAACGCACAGAACTTCAAAGAAATCTGTAGAACTACCGAGAAATTTGCAGATCGTCAGGAAAGATTATTGACCTTTAAAGAAATTTTACCCGAGAACAGAAACAAAACTTCAGGGACGTCAGAAGGTTTGAAGATCTTGCAGAATTGAGTTGTTAATAGAAATTTTCAGAACTCAAGGAATCATGTAAATCTAGTGAGAACTTTTCCCGCTAGCTTGTCTAAAGTTGGTTTCAACATCCTGGCGAGGTTTTGAAATCCATTTTCATCTTCATATCACAGCTCTTGCAGGACAATATGAGCCAGATCCCTGCCTGTGTTCCTTCTGAGCAACCATGTTCTACTCCACAAAGTTCACCTTCTCTTTCTCATTTTATTTAAAATAATAAAAGCAAATATGTCTGCCGAAACTAGAGCAATTTTCCGGTAATTCATGATGGAAGTATTTACCATAGACAAACAGACCTAACTCTTCATTGTGTATCTTCGTTCATGCATTTAACGGTTGATTTGAATATTATCAGTTCCGCGAACTACTCGCTGCAGCGCTGGCATCGGATCACTTTGACGTTTATATATATATGCTATAGAAATTTCATGCAATATTGTTTACGAGTTAGCGAGCAAGCTTGTTTTCCGCGAGAAGCCAGATAGATGTCGTTACTGAGGTTATATGTTTTGAGATACTATGTTTTCAAGAACAAGTTTTTCAAAGAGTTACGTCGGTTTGTCTGTGTATTTACTATTGGTGCATTTACTAAACATAAATTGTACAAATTAATATTAAACAACCTATGTTTATCTGTTCTGCTGTAATATTCAATAACTTTTTTTGCTGTGCCGACTTATAAGTACCAACGCCTAAGTTTGAACAATCGAAAATAACATAAATCAATAAGTACATAAAAGGGATTCCAGATGGATAAATAGATAAAATAATAATGTGTATAATTTGTATGCACCTGGAATTTTTTTCATCCGACCTGGAAAAACCTGGAAAACTCAGGGAATTTGATTACTTGGATTGAGTAGACACCCTGCATGTTCAAAAGTTTCAACAGAAAATTCGAGAAAACGTTCCAAGGAACTGCTCATAATTCAAAGACTGCCAAATGACAAATAGATGTTTTTGTGACAGGGAAAGGTTCTTATGATGGTTCGTGACTCCTCTTTCCTCTGTAAAGGGGGGCTCCCAGAAATTTCTGCATAACTCGAGAACTAATCAAGCAAATGGAACCAAATTTGGCATATGGAGGTCATAGGAAGTAATCCCTTAGATAAGAGAGGGGGGGCTACGTACACGATTTTTTTTTTAATTGGCGCATAAACTCAAGCTAATATTGAATCCTTAGCAAGGCCGGACACACTCAGCTGGTGATAAATAATAAAAATACTGAGTATATGGTAGTTGTTCCAATAATGGCTATATGTTCCTATAATGCTGTGTTCCAATTATGGTCTATGGAATTTCCATATGCCATAATTGGAACACACCATAATAAGAACATATAGCCATGACAGGTTCACACCTACCCTATTCTAGCAACATCAAGCGAATTCGAGCTACGTCATTTCACAAAGCTATTTTTACGTACCTGGATGGACGAAGAATGCTATCGAATGTCTTCCGCGGCTCTTGAGTGAGTCCTCCTCCGGTATCACGACCCGGTGTGGCTGTAACGAAAACGACAAAGCATTTAGTTTCGCCGTGTCCGACCGAAAGCTTTTCAGCTGAAACCCACCAGGGCAGGAATCTTCTCGTTGGTCCACGTTGCCAGTAGCTCGCCGGCATTGATCAGTATGGCACCGGGCAGATAGCCGACCCGTTTCCACTTGTCCGTACCGGGCAGTTTCACCTCGAGGCCACCCTCCGAGTCCTGCACCAGCAGCGTGAACGTCCCATAGTCACAGTGCGCTCCACAGCGGGTGTACTGAGCTTCCCGGTCCTCTTCCTCTTCGGCGAGCTTTCTCTTGTAGTCTTCCGGAAGTGAGAGATCGATTTCGTCCCTGAGGCAGCGCTGTTGGCTGTACTGACAGGTACCCCGTTGCAGCTCGTTCTTGCCGTCGTCTTCGATCAGTGGTGGATAGTACAGCAAGCGGAATGTCGACTGGTTTTCACCTTCCCCGTCCAGGATGTGACCGTGCCTGTCGAGGAAGTATTTGTATGGCATTTCGAGCCCAACGGCCAGGGCTTGGAGGAGAAGCGAGGACAGGCGCTGAAAATCTGTTGCCAGGTCGGAGATGTTCTCCCGGAAACCGGGGAGAGGCTCTTCCGGGAGTTGCGCATCCGGCTTCAAGGTGCAGATGTTGAAGGTGTGTCGGATGTCTTTGCTTTTGCCGTCGAAGCGTTCCTGGCCGGGTTTCACGTAGCCATGATTGCCGTCCTTCCGCAGGTATAGCTCCTTGATGGTGTCCGGCAGTTTGCAGAAATCGTCCAGGTGGTTGTAGGCATATTTGATCTGGAATTGAAATCATAAAGTTAGTGCTCTCAAAATTTATTGAGTAATGATAACGAAAAGATCAAGCTAATTTTACCATTTATTTATCGTTCATTTATTTTTACGATAAAAGCAAACCGGAAGTTCTGCAGATTAACAGGGGATTTCGAGTTAAACTCTTTCCTACCTGCGTAATGAATGGATTAGCCTTATAATGGAAAGCATAAAAGTTGTTTTCAATTGATTTCAAATTTATTGAACAACAAAAAGCGATGACGTCAATTGCTCCCGAGGCCATCAAATTCCAAATACGCTATGCACCGCAGGCGTTTAACAAGAAAAACAACCTTTTTATTTTGCCAGTCGCAAAAATTTGCGCGGATTAACGATTAATTACATCCTTTTTATCACGTGATTCTTAGCAGCTAACATTCCATCGAAAAACACCTGCACTGCCCTATCATAACATTCACATATAGAGCTCACAGCTCACACTCCATAACATTTATCACGTGCTCTGTGATGAAGTGGTCACGATTTGCAGAAAATTATTAATATCAATATTTTCTCAGCTTTGCAGACGTCAATCAAGCTGATCGAAGGAAGCTAGGGTTGATGTGTTGTGTTTGTGCATTTCTGTGTTTAATAAACATACCACCAAAACATATAGTCTCCTGTTGGCTTGTTCCATTTAGCTCCAATTCCCTGCAACCAAACAAAAGATTACCATCGCGTTTAGTATCAATTCATGTCTGGTGGCAATTCCTAATCGATCATTCTGATTATTACTTACTCACCAACGGAAAGTCAGTCAATTTCGCGACATGCAAACTAGCTGGGACCGACTTCAATCGAAAAAGGACGCTTTACTAGTCCTATAATCCTATAACCGTTACCGGTACTCGTTTTTCAAGGTTTAGTTTTCATGATCCTCTCCCTCCATAAAGCAATCTTCCTCCGATCCGGGATTGTTTACAGCAACGAATAAGAAAGGGCAAGCATTCAGAAATACCGGCACATCCATGATTCATAAAATGGAACGACAACACAAGTCTAGACGCTTGATGATGAACTTTGGCACGCTCTCTTTCCGGACTCTCTTAAAATGATGCCACCAACAATACCACCTACTAACCGCCATGTGGTTGGGTATTGACTGGGTAACAACCGAAAATCATGTTTGGAAGAGGTGCGCTTCCCTCAACAGAGCGAAGACAAAAGGGTAATTAGCTTTACGCTGCACCGTGTCTTAGGTGAATAGATAGGGTCAAGAACTAACTTCTGTCATATTAAGCACAGCCTGCACTTTACCTCTCGTTTTCCAACGGGTTTGAACGCAAATTGGTATGTTGAAAAATGACTTCTAAATTAATTTACCTTTTCATACGTACCGTTAGCTTGGATAAAGAGTCACAAAATGTAGTTATATTCCATCCTAACGCATTGTAACGCCATTCGATTTTCTTCATCCTACGGATAAACGTTTTTCTACGTTCTCGCTAGGAGCGCTTCTTTTGTTTTTTGAGTATAATGGATGTAAATAATTCTTATTATGCGTTCTTCAAGACTTTGTTTTGTAGCTTTTGAACTAACCCATAGTGGCACACAAATGATTGATACGTTCACGCCAAAATCGTTGATATATTTATGTTTCTATGTGAAATTACGGAAGTTGGTGCTAAAGCCGAAGTAGTGCTCTACCCTATAAAGATGTGAAGTGTTATGTTGTGCCTGGAAAAGACAACCAGTGGTGGTGATTTCCCATAAAAGCGACTCGATATTGCATGTCGAAAGCATCAAGTGGTTTGTGAACTTGAAATTTTACGTGCCGGTGGGAAAAGTGGTTATTTCCTTTGCTGTCGTCGGACAATGCGGATTTGACTTGGTATTGTTTGTGGCAAGTAACTAGGATTAAGAAACATTGAATAGTGGAGTATCTTTTGATAGAGGATTGCAGTTTCAGTTTCTGCTGGTTAAAGTTAGCTTAAATATCATTGTAGTCTACTTTTCTAAATCTCATATTATGTATACTTTTTTTACCCAGTTTGTTTATTTGGAAGGCTCAATCGCGTTAGCTTTACGGAGCCGATAATTCATTGTTCACTGTTTGTAGCAAAATTCACTTAATTCTATGTCTAGTAAAAGTTTGGCCGAATACACGCGGCTTACTCGAGGTTAGAAAGGTACATTGTCAAATGATAGGATCAGCTCCTCCTTAGGGGTGGGTTTTCGTTGTCTCATCAGAGCGTTGTCGCCAGTATGAATGGTAGTTCAATTCTGTATTCGTCTGGAGTTCGACCGGCTGTGGTGGGTGACCAGTGAGCGGCGATGAGATTCATCAAATGGTGGGACAAGACAAACAAAAACTAATAAAGAGAGACAAAAGACAAAGCAATTAAATTCTTATACCAAACATTTAAAGAAACACAAAAACCGACTGCATATAGCAGATATCGCGAGTTCCCGACACGTCTCTGATAGGAACAAAGGGTTGTCTTCCTTGGGCCTCGAGGGTATTCAAAAGTTGCTCTCTGGCGGTTTCATTATCCGTACATTGCCAAACTACGTGATCAATGTAATCGTAACCGTTTCCACACCGACATACGTTTCTGTCCACGAGGTTTATTCTATTGAGATGAGCATCTACCGAGTAGTTGTTGGACATAAGTCTACTCATCACGCGAATGAGGTCACGACTTAAGTCCAAGCATTTAAACCACGCTCTCGAAGAAACATTAGGAATAATTGAATGTAACCACCGTCCAAGATTTCCATTGTCCCAATCGGTTTGCCAACTCGAAAGGGTACTCTAAATGGTAAAATTCATCGTGTGAAATTTGCCTGTCATAAAATTCGTCTTCCTGCGCGCCCATCTTTGGGAGAGAGTCCGCCTTCTCATTGCCTGCGATTGAGCAATGTGAGGGGACCCATACAAAGGTAATCATATATGATCTTTCGACCAGCACACTCATCTGCTCCCTTTCTTTTGAAAGGAAATAAGATGAGTGCCTACCTTGTTACATCGACCGAATAGCCTCAATCGAACTGAGACTATCCGAGAAGAGTAATGGTATGTGGGCATATTGGAAATCATCCCCAATGCGAAGTTGATTGCTGCCAGCTCAGTAACAAATACGAAACAAGGTTCCTGAAGCTTGCGGAAGGCGCTAGAGTTTTCATTGAAGCCATCGTAGCCAGTGCATCCATTGAGACGGGACTCGTCTGTAAAATATCTTTTCATGCAGTTGACTTGTTGGTACTTTTCAGTAAAAATACGCGAGATAAAATAGGTCGAAGTTGATCGGGAATCCCATGCGTTGCTTGTTTTATGGTCAGATCGATTGAAATCTTTGATGAAGCCTATAACTTTTGATCGCAGACCATAACTTTTGATGGCATATTAGAACAGTCAGAACCAGTAATTGCTTCAAAGTTTAATGACTATTTCGTCGAAAGCGTTTCACTGATCAATCAATCTATTGAACTGATCAATGAACCGGACGAAATAAAATAGCCGATTAATAGTAACTGTAGATTTGATGGTTTCCACCCAATTACATCAGATGAACTTAAAAATATTTGCTTTTCATTAGGAAAAACAGCTGGAGTAGATAATGTTAATGCTAGAGTTATTCAAGATTGCTTTCATGTCATTCGACACACTCTGCGGGACCTTATTAATCAATCATTGCAATCTGGGCACGTGCCGCATATTTGGAAAGAATCTTTAGTTGTTCCTATACAAAAAGCTGCTGGGACGATTAAAGCCGAAGAGTTTCGTCCCATCAACATGTTGCACACATTAGAGAAAATTTTGGAACTTGTTGTAAAAGGCCAGCTGTTAGAATATTTAAATAGTAACTGTTTGTTGATACCGGAACAATCGGGATACCGGGAAGGCCATTCTTGTGAAACCGCGTTAAACTTAGTGTTAGCTAAATGGAAAGAAAATTTGGAGCATAAAGATACGATTGTTGCTGTGTTTTTGGATCTAAAACGCGCTTTTGAGACAATTTCTAGGCCCTTATTGTTGAGAACAATCAAGCGCTTTGGAATTTCGGGTTCTGCATACAAAAGGTTTGAAAGCTATTTATCTGACAGAACACAAAGGACTGTTTTTAATGATTTTGTATCTTGTCCCGTTGACAATGACCTTGGAGTGCCTCAGGGAAGTGTCTTAGGGCCCCTTTTATTTATTATGTATATTAATGACATGCGACGAGTTTTACGGTTTTGTGATATTAATCTTTTTGCTGACGATACTGTGTTATTCATTGCAGCTAAAGATTTAGAAGAAGCCGTTTCACGCTTGAATGAAGATTTGCGTTCTCTAAGTAGATGGTTGAAGTATAAACAATTGAAATTGAATATAAGTAAAACTAAATTCATGGTAATTTCGCGGAATCGTGTAGATGATGATGTCTCTGTTGTTATTGATGATGAGACAATTGATCGCGTTCAGGAAATTAAATATCTTGGCGTGATTGTTGATGACAAACTCAAGTTCAATTCTCATATTGACAATGTCATCAAGAAAGTATGGAGTATGCAAGAAGTATGGAATCCTATGTCGCTTGAAAAACGATTTAACTATTGGTAGTAAAATACAGTTATACAAATCAATCATCTCCCATTCATTGCCCTTCCATTTTATTTTTGGCCAATGAAACACAAATATCGAGATTACAGCGTTTGCAGAATAAAGTAATGCGTTTGATTTTAAGATGTAATGGATTCACTTCCTCAACTTTTATGCTGGACGCTTTGCAATGGCTGTCAGTGAAGCAAAGAATTGTATATTTGACTATGGTGTTCATTTTTAAAGTAGTTAACGGTTTGCTGCCTCGATATTTGTGTGATCGGATTGAAAGAGGAAGTGATTTTCATAGATATAACGCTAGAAACGCGGATGAAGTAAGAACACCACATTTTTTGAATAATGCTTCACAAAATTCATTATTTTTCACAGACACATCAAGCGTGGAACTACACTTACAGAATTCAAGAGACGCTGCATTTCA